CTTGGTCTAAGATGCTCACACTTTTACAGCTGAAGCTATGATTAAGTCTGTGCATGTGTAATGAGATTAAGGAGTTTAAGAAATTAAGGAGGACACAATGACACTGTCTTTCTTCTTTGTAACTATCTTTTTCTCTACATTTACATTATACAGTATAGTACAATTATCCTAATTTTTGCAGCTGACTTTCTCTTAAATTCTCATCCCTAGCCTCTTTCCTCATTCCACCAAGTTTCCATTTTCATACGTCCCATTACCACAATTACATACACTTCAGTAGCAGACTGAAGCATAATTCTTTTCACTTACTTCCAAACAGTTCCCACATAATCTCGTTAACATGTCCATATTTTATTCATTTTATTGGAAGATTAATCTACCTTCTAATAATTTTCAAACAAAATATATTTTCTCTTTATTTATTTCATTCAAGTTTCTTTCACTTTTTTTTCCTATGTCCATTTTTCCCAATATCCACTTACTATAATACCAGATAGTCCTCTCTATAATATTACTACCTGCTTCTTTTTTTGTGATTTCTGCTAGAGAGAGTATATACTTATGTGCTGCTGTAAAGAGTGGAATCAATTAGTTTTATTAATGGAGTGCTTTATATTATAGGTAATTAATTTTAATAAGTACTTATAAATAGTTGTACATTTAGTTTTTTGGTCTTGGTCCTCTCCTTTTTTGAAGTATGGCTTATGAAAGGAATACAATTGCATATGCCTATATGTACAAACATAAAAAGCATGTTGCATGCACAGATTCTCTGAGGGTGGAAGATTAGATTCGTTTTAGGTAAATATTAATATCAATTGCAGATTTATTAAGCAGAAGAGGGGAGAGATACAGAGAGAGATCAATTATTTTATTTGGGTTTGTCAAGGCTGCAAGAGGTCTCTGAGCTGTTTACAATAAGTGCAATGCACAGTAAAAACCATATAATTGCACAGACCAAAATAACAATCTGTAACCTGCAAAAATTCAACAGGGGCTCTGCGGACACCCATAACCTCAGGATTTGGAACACAACCAGGTCTCCAGGAAACCAAGGAAAATGGGAGCTATGTATCTTTCAGAGGGGGGGGGGGGGGGAGATGCTGCTCCAGAGACCAGGGGCTGCAATAGAGAAGGCATGATTCCTCAGTTCCATAAGATGATAACCTTTAATTGACTGGTCTTAAAGAGCTCCACTCTGATTGAAGGCATCAAATGGGCAAAAAACAACTATATTAAGCCCTATGCCATGAAAGGTTCCATAGGTGATGACCAGCATCTAAAATTAAACCTGATAGCCAAGAGGATAGCCAACATAACTCACTTAGCACAGGGGTCCTCAACCCCTGGACTGCAACCCCTAACGGACCACAGCACATTCAGAACTGGCCTGAGCAAGTAGTGGGGGAGTGAGCAGCTCCACTTGCATGAGTGGCAGGCAAACATGTGCAGGTAAAGCTCCATTTGTGTGAGCTTGCATGGAACCATCCTCTCTACCCCCCCCCCCCCACCATCACCACCAGTCCACAAAGGTCAGAGACCATTGGCTTAGAAGTTATGGCACATGGGCATAACCAGAAGCATTTGTTACTGTCTGTGCTGAGCTTCCAAAGCATCTTCAAGCAGCCCATGCAGAGCCCATTGCAGTCATCTAATCATGAGGTAACAAAATCATAAGTGACTGTCAGTTTAGTAACACTAGCTTCCATCCACCTAAAAAACTGCCACTTTCTCACCTATAGTATTTTACTGTTTTTCCATTCAACACTATTTGCTTTTAACCTTTTAATCAAAGAGCCTCAAAGCTACCTCAGCTCATTTGGGTGCCATCACACACACTTTTGTCTAAATCTGTTAGTAAATGGAAAAATTTGGAGCACTTCATTCATAACTGAGAGTTTTAAGTTGTTAAGCAGTTTTAATGTTGGGAGTTAAATATTTAGGAAAAAGAAAATGCAATATTTGGGGGGGGGGTCACAGAGAAAACCAGATAATGTGAGTAATATGTTATGTTTCCAGGCCACTTTGACCTAGAAAGTGATAAATACTATTAAACACAGACTGCAAATGGAAAGTTAACTCTTATCAAATAATCAATTGAAACAAAGGTGTGAATTTTCTGCTGTCTATTTTTTTAACAAATTGTATATGACATGTCAAAATAATTTTTCAAAACCTTTTTTTTTTTACTTACGGTTGCTATTTTTAGGAAAAGATATTTAACTGTCCCTTACAGATGACTTCTGTCTAAGGCAGAGGTGGGGAACAATGACACCTTTATGACTTGTGGACTTCAACTCCCAGAATTCCTGAGGCAGCATGGTTGGCTCAGGAATTCTGGGAGTTGAAGTCCACAAGTCATAAAAGGGCCATTGTTCCCCATCCTTGTTCTAAAGCAGCGGTTCTCAACCTCTGTGTGACGGCGACCCCCGTCACACGGACGCGCCGCCGCCCCCTGAGGGGGAAAAATGGCGGATCGCATTGTTTGGTGACCCCCGTAAAATGGTCGTTCGACCCCAAATGGGGTCGCGACCCATAGGTTGAGAACTGCTGTTCTAAAGCATTTCTGTTGCCTTATGTCTTTTGCTACCATACACAAATATGACCGCTAAGTATTAAAAAGTGTGTTATTGTTACAAGAATGATAACATTTCATATCATGAACAATAAGTCCACAATGACAAGAGTTTTTCAGAAAAATATCAACCATATTTTCTGCTTAGAAAGCACCCCAGTAAGAGAGTTGTACTAAATTGATGCTGGTCACCAGTATATGTGTCTGAAGGCTATGTGTTGAAATGAACATGATGGCTACATGTTCAAATATTGATAAATGAATGTGGGAAAGTAGACTGTAACGTTTCCTTCTTTGAGCAGTGAGAATAGGAAATAATCTATGTTGCATAGCAGATCAGATTTTAAATACTGCTTTGCAAAGTGAATCTCTAGACATAATGTCATACACAAAGCTCAAATGAAAGAGCTTGCACCATTGTCCTTCCCACATTGCCAAGCAATTTAGAAGGATTTTCCTGGATTCAGAATAACCTTCCATAAATCCAGAAAGAGCAGGAGCATGTTCAAAGCTCAGCATGTTCTCTTATGGTGTCTCCTGAGACATGTACTTAAAAGTTTCAGACTTAATACCCTCTTAACCCCCGTCGAGATGGATTGAGTGGACTATTGTTTTGTGTTTTGGCAGCAGTTTTTTAAAAAAAAAGAAAAAGAAGAGGAGTAAAGACAAAGGAAGCCTTAGCAGCAGTGCTGACAAGATCTCCACAGCCTGTGGATATGGCCAATTCTCAACAGAGGGATAAGCAAACTGTGTCAGGGGCATTGATTTCTTTTCTGACACTTAACTATTTTGAAAAGCTTGAATTGGGTTGATGCCATTGCAGAAGGAAGTTTACAATCAGTGCATACTTTTGTGGAGCCGTTCTCTTTAACGACTTAGTAACTAGTGCTTTTAGCAGGATAGAGAGAACTCTGAGCGAACTGCCTTCTGGGAAGAATTGTGGTATATGAGGCTATAGCAAATATCAGTCATTTCACCTCTGAAAAAAATAATAATCCAGGAGCACAACAGAGCATAGCTTCCTGCTCCACCTTCAACCTCAAAGCTCTCTGTGAAACCAAGAAGCTGGAAATAGTTTCCACTTTTTTACACAACAAAACAATGCTGTTCTGGATCAATATATAATTATTACTCTGAAATTATCAACATTTCATCCCACTGGTACCACTCTATAATATACCTTAAACTAGCATCTTTTTTTAGACATCAACATGACCCATAGTTCTTCGACAATACCTTCCACTTTGTGGCCAATAGTGCAAAATGAGTGGTTTACATCAGGCATGTCAAACTGCTGGCACACGGGCTGGATGCATCATACTAAAACCACACCCACCACATTGCCGGCAATGGGGAAAAAGTCACATGATGTCACAGGTTTGACACGCCTGGTTTATATCATGGGTGGTATCATCAGTATTCAGTAACTGGTGTCAACTGCAATTGTCTTTGATTTTTTTCCCCCTACGCATTCTGTAATTCCTTAAAAGGATCTGGAGGGTGTCTTGTTACTATTGCTTCATTACTCCAGCACTTACCACTGCATGTTCTGTAACCGACATTCCATTCAAGCAAACATTGTATTCATCGGTCATCATACATAAATTCATGTTTTCCCTGTCCATCTTCACATGGGGCACATCACTAAGCCCATTTGTTCAGCAACGCAGGGCTTTCCCCCCACCTTCTGAGACACCCCATGCTCTACATAGCACTCACAATGGGGAAAGTCAGGATTGCATGGATGCCTTGCTTCATGATTGTTATAATTTATGACCATAATTCTAGTCTCAGTTGTGGTCATTAAGTTGAGGACTACCTCTAAAGAGCTGTGTTGAAAAGAATCCTAAAGGAGAGCAGCCCTGTTCCCAAAGTGCTGTCCTAAAATGTAATCATGAAACATAATTATTTGTGCTTAATATTTAATATTTTTAATAGTTTAATATTTTAACACCATTGTCTACGGTGTGATTCTTCACCTCTAGTTTGAATTGCCTTGTTTTTGTATTCAATTACAGATTTTGGAATTTGTTTTGGCATGGGAGATTCTTGGTATAATGCAGTGTTTCCCAAACTTGACAATTTTAAGGCATGTGGACTTCAACTCCCAGAATTCCACAGCCAGCATTGCTGGCTGTGGAATTCTGGGAGTTGAAGTCCTCATGCCTTAAAATTGTCAAGTTTGGGAAACACTGGTATAATGAGAAGGAGATTCAGTATTGTATAGGAAAAAAAACATCTCTCTGTGGAGAAAGGAGATGGCCAAGGCTGTATTCTCATTTAAGCATGCTGAAGAGGGAAGCCTAACTGAATGTTTCTGAGTAAACAAACAGAATCTGGCCGCTTGTTTAGAAATAAGACAAAAATATAGCAACATATAACCAAGTCAAATGTGTGATTAAGCAGTTAATTAAATTTGTCTTACCTTCACTTTTTTACCGAGACGATCCTTCCATTTCTCAGCTATGGAGCCTTCCACTAAGAGTAGTCTTTGCATTTTAAGGAAAAAGAACAACAATGATTATATATGAAAGGCAAAATAGCTCAGCTTAAGAAGAAAGAGGAAGCTTTATGTTGAAGGAGCAAATGCAGATCTATTAATGACCACTGCAATTTCCCCTTAAGTTCTATAGCAACAGTCTACTTCTCCCAGTTGTAGAAATGCTTGTTAATACAATCTATACTCATGGAAGGAAAGTTAGCTATGGATATTTAAGCAGTGGTGGGATTCAGCCGGTTTGTACCACTTCAGCAGAACCAGTAGCTAATTTTTTGTTGCCCAAGCCCAGAATGGACTTCCGGAAGTGGCATCCACACAGAGAACCAATTGTTGACATATTTGAATCCCACCACTGTATATAAGTATACGAGTACCAATAGTAAGTAATATTACAGTAGTTCAGCTGTATCTTTCCTTAACTATCCTGAATTTCAAAAGATGCAAGAAAAATGCAACTCTTTGCAGTTATAGACTTTGATAGATTTAAGAAACATTCTTAGAAATAGATAAATCAATTTTCATAGGTGGCTTTGTTTAGTTTGTGATGACAACATAACAAACTTTACATTATAATAAATCTGCCAAAATTTAAGGTGTCACAAGACTGTTTTTGCATAAAATTAGGCAGAAACATATATGACAGAGGTGTAGATTTTTGTAATTAGATAGCCCTTGACCTGATATAATGTGACAATTTGAAGGATGGGCAGACCCAATGAGAGGAGTTAAAAGAGGGTTCAATTTAGAATCATTGCATAGTCACAACTCCAACACCTCCTCCCCCTCCCCCCGATGCCTTTGACTCATATCTAGTTCTATCCAGATGCTGACCATTAGTTGAGAAGTTTCCTATACATAGGCTTTTAGCAACAAATCAGTTAATTTGAACCTTTACATATGGAATTGGTTTTTCGTGCCTGACACAATTTTAGTCTAGGGAAACAATATGAAATGTTTAAAATCAGCTAATGTTTATTAATATTACCCTGCTGTCTTGCATCTGAAATTAAATTAACCTCACAACAAAATCTGATGTAATGGGCCAGGCACAGAGATTCACTTGACCAGATCCATACAGTGTCTGATTCTGAAACATGAGTTCCAGCCAATATCTCATTTTTTCAGTCTGTTACTCAAGATCTATTGACAGTTTATTGTACCTGTCCCCTCCTCCTAGAATTGTAACTTCAAGAATTTCCAACCAGAAAAAAAAATCCTAGTTGAGAATACTGGAAGTGCATATGTTACACTTTAGAAGGTTGCAGAGTAGGGGACCTATCACCATTGGTTATAAATGAAATGACTGATCGATTAGATTGGGTAGTCTTTCATCACCAAGGACCATAACTGGGGAGGCCGAGATATGCAGAATGGGAGATAATGCACCACATAAGGACAGGTCTAGTTTGGGGAGAATATGAGGGCTACTTTTGGTGGGGGGACTGCTATGATATACCTATTTTAACATTTTTTTATAGTGATAGGAAACTGTTCTAACAGTCTTCATCATTTAAGATCACAAGGAGCTGCAAACTCTACAAAAGAAAGGTTCAGGAACTGTCTGAGGCCAGCATCCAACAAGATAGATGGATTATACAAAGCCAATGAGTGAGTCAGAACTGTGGTCTAGACTTTGGCAAGCTTGGTTATTGCAAAATGCAAGCTGTCTACATTAGCTGAATAAAACCATTTGATCAGATCTGAGAGGTTGTTCTTGGTGCCAAGGACCTTCTTCAACAATTCAGGTATTGTTTTCTATTATTAAATCCAGACTCCTAATTCTTATTACACATGTTTCCAAGAAATGTCTCCATGAAAGAAGCTGGGCATCCTTAATTCTGGGCAACGTTGAATAGATGGGAGTTTTAAAATCAAGTTATAGATACAAAGCATTATTTTTCTGGGCAACTGGGAATGCATTTAACAAAACTCTGAATAATGATCACCAACCATTTTTATTTTGAAGAAAGCCAATGAACACCAAAACCACTCTTGGAAATAAAGATGGAGCATTAAAAAATATCTGATAAACTTTAATTTATATAAAAATATTAAGAAGGTGAGGGAACCGAAAGGCATGAAGTATGTTCATTTGTTTAATGAAGACACATATAAACAAAGATCTACTCTACAGTAAAAATTAACAAGACAAGTGCTTCTGTTTACTAACTTCCTCAAAATTATTCATTGGAGATGCAGATTTTTTCTCTCTCCAGCTACTCTTCTTTTCTCCTTTTTAAAATCTCTTTTTCAATCAAAATATTAATCACCCATAAAATAGTTTGTTTTTGATAATATTTGATCCAGAATCAACTTAAAATTTCTCTTTAGGTTTTATAATTTTACTAATTAAAGGGAGGAGCCCATAATTACCTAGAACGTTCCTCATCTTCATAGCCCATGATGATATATTCTTCATTAGCGTTAAGTGGTGGGCAAAGACAGCCAGAGTTTGTATATAAATTGACTGTGTCCCTAGGAATGTTCACCAAGGAAGATTTTAGAATTTCTTTCACTTCGACCACTGCAGTGACATCATGACATTTGGTCTTTACCTCCTTAACTTTAGCCCGAATAACTGAAGAAAAAGAAGAACAGAGGTTAAAATGAAGACAGCTAATGTATCTTCCAGAATATTTTGTTCTTTTTGACTCCGGAAAGAAAGTATTTTGTTTTGTTGCTTTAAAAAAAAAGGTGTATCGTAAATTAATAATTGAAAACATAGTAAAAGTGTTATTTTCTTAAAACAATAAGCACTGTCATTAGCACCAAAAAGGTAATTTAAGAAAAGGATAGTCTTATCACTTTACTGTTAGTATTGAAGAATAACAATAGCTGTCTTCTTGAAATCAGTATTGTTTTTTATTTCTTTTCTAAAGAAGTGCTTGTACATATTATGCATGTAAAATCAATGCATTTGTATCTAATACTTTTGAAATTTCCCAAATGCATTTGGTTGATGTTGTTCCCTCCAGTAAGCTACCGTATTTTCTGGCGTATTAGACGACTCGGCTTATAAGACGACTCCTGACTTTGGAGCTGATTTGCATGCTTTAGAAAGTCATCTTATACACCAGAAAATACGGTACATATTCTCGAAGGTTTCAAGCAAAAATGTAGGGATGCCAGGCTCAAATTCCATTAAGCTTCAAAACTTGTTAATTGACCTTGGTCAATCTTTCTGGCAGTCTGAACTACCTAAAATGGTTGCTTTAAGCGTGAAACAGGTGAGGGAGGAACCTGAGCTCTTTAAAAGTCACTTTCAGCAGACAATTTTTAACCCCCAACTCAATTGACTTGAGTTTTGCTTGCCTTTGGAGATAGCAATTCGCTAAAGTAGCTGCCCAAGAACCCCTTTCTGTGAAATCATTTCTGCTTTTGTTTAATCTTCTCTTCTTCCAAAGTTATTGCTTGTCTTCATGCCATACTTACCATAGTTGTAATTGTTCCGAAGGTAGGTCTTCTGGGTAGCTTTTATAGGCTTGCATTTGCAGCGCTCTAGAAAACAGAATTTCCCTCCGCATTAGAACAAAAAAAAAAAAAAAGGAAAGGTATGTGATTTGGCAATAATCACAAACAAGCATCTGTGTTGACAGTAGGAATTGGTTTGTGTCTCACTCAGCCCATTTGTTGATGGGGAAAAAAATAAGTTTATTGCTTACATACAGTGTCTTACAGATTTATTAGAAATTTTACTGTCAAAAGAAAGATGTTATAATCATTATAGGCATTTTTTTTTCCTGCATACAGCCAGACAGAGCATAACGTTCAAGTTTGCAACAAGTTATTTTCTCAGGTTCATAAAACAAAACAGTAGTAGGATTTGTCTTGGACACTGATTCAGAGCAGAAGATTTCTATCGGGGAATGCAGACCACCAAGATTCCTAGTCTAGACATGACAAATCCCACCAGCCTATCTCTCCTCCCTGATTTTTCCCAACACAATCATTGCTTCCTTCCTCTACACAATCATTGCTGCAAATCCAAATCTATTTCAATGACATTTTCTTGCTATCTTTATAGACCAAGTTTCTTTGATACAGTGATCCGTGGGATGCAATGTTTCCAAAAGTCAAGAAACATTCATTTAGCGTGAAAGACACACTACTTCCCCTGGGGGGAAAATGTATTTGAGACTCTTAAATAACAGAACAATGCAGAAGTCAAGTTTCCATGTCCCTAATGCTCCATGTGCTTTGCTTCAGTCAGATCTCTCCTCTTGGATCACTATTAGACAGGAGAGGTGGAATAGTACCGTAGGTGAAAAAACTGAATGAGGGCACCTGTACATTTATGGTGGTGCAGTGGTTAGAATGCAGTACTGCAGGCTATTTCTGCTAACTGCCAGCTGCCAGCAATTTGGCAGTTCGAATCTCACCAGGCTCCAGGTTGACTCAGCCTTCCATCCTTCCGAGGTCGGTAAAATGAGGACCCAGATGGTTGGGGGCAGTATGCTGACCCTGTTAACTGCTTAGAGAGGGCTGTAAAGCACTGTGAGGTGGTATATAAGTGCTATTGCTATTCTAGCAAAAAATAATAATAATCCAAATACTCTCCTCTCCTGATAAGAAACCCACAGCAAAGAGTAGAATGCTTCTAGGATACAGCCAGCCTGCAGGTCAATGGCTGATGTCACGTACACATTGTTGTTTTAACAGATTGCTAGCAAAGCAAATCTTTCCCACTCCGCCTTTTCCCATCTTCCAAACTGATGGTAACTTTAACATTGGGAAGATCAAACATTTCCCCTTCTTGGCTAAGGGGGAAAGGAAAATAAAGCAAAGTGAGCTGACAGAAGTACTGGTACTCCTCACTTAGCAAGCATTTGTTCAGCAACAGTTCAAAGTTAAGCTGGCACTGAACTTGATTGCACTGAACAAATGGTAGTTATGCCCAATCCCAGAAATTATGGGCGCTGCAGAGTCCATGGTCATGTGATTAAAATACGGGCACTTAGCAGCTTATATAAGCAGTACTGATAATACTTATAATTAATCACTGGGGCTCTTCAATTCCTCTCCTCCCTTCGCCACTTATCTCTCATCCATCTCTTGGCTTCCCTGCTTTCTGCCTCTTTGCACTCTACTGGCCCTGCTACCCCCAGTTTGCTTTTGCTGTTTTCTTCCTCCTGCTGCTGATGAATTGCACCTGATCTAATCCTCCCCAAGGCACGGCTAGTCACACCAGGCCTTCTTCCTGAGGCCACCCACACCTTTATCCAAGTTGCCCGTGGACTTCTTGCGATGGATTGGGTGAGTTTGGGAATGGTTTGGATTGGGTAGGCCAGGGGTAGGCAACCTTGGCTCTTTTATGACTTGTGGATTTCAACTCCCAGAATTCCTGAGCCAGCATGGCTGGATCAGGAATTCTGGAAGTTGAAGTCCATGAGTCATAAATGAGCCAAGGTTGCCTACCCCTGGGGTAGGCCCTTGCCTGACAACATGGTGGGATTCAGTTAACAACAGCAAACAATAGTAGTTGGACTGTTGTTGCGAGGTAAAACAGTCATGGGACATGACTGCATTACTTAGTGATGGATATTCTGGTCCCAATTACTGTTGTAACTCAAGGCAGATTCTCACCCACATAGTCAGCTACAGCTGATCTTTAGAGACAAACTTCTGTATCAGTCCCAGCCATCCCACTAATCTGCATTAGTGATATTTTTTTCTCAAAATATACATTTTTCAACAATGATTCCTTCTGTTCTGATAAGGCAAGATATTACACTGCAAGCTTATGGACTCTGTCATCTTGCTTAGTTAAATTGTTAGTTTGCTGCCTGATCATTTATATATCATTGAATAGAAAATACAGAAAACACTGTAATAGACATACATACATACTTCCAAGACAATATCATATGTTTTTACATGTCTTGCCTGTCTTTTTGCTTTTGACTTTGCCAGTCAAGGTAAGAAATACACCAACAGAGAAATGTAAGAAAACTTAATCTAGCTTTCACCTGGAAGAAAACCTTATTTGCCTTCTTAGTAATAACAGGAATAAAAAATCACTACAGGGCTCCTTGTGTCTACAATCCAGAAAGCATAAGTATCTGAGCACTACGGATTTTCACATCTATTTGCATGATTCAAAGCTGAGAAATGTGCAAAACATTTTAAGTTCAAAATACCCTGTTTTGAATGGAAAGCAACATTCCTTGAAGTATTCTGAGCTGATAAGACTTGCAGGATAATCAGAATATCAACAGATGCTTGCAATACAATTGGAATAAGCTGCTTTGAGCTCAAGAGCATTTTAAATTCAAAACATTTTGCACCTTCAGTGGAATTCTACTTTAAATTGGCTATGTTTTCTTAAGCTACCACTGCAGGAGAACCCCAATTCTTCAGTCATTACATTGGTTGCGCCTAGACTTTGTGGTCCAACTCAAAATGCTGGGTTTTGAAAATTCCTGATCTGATACAATACAGTGCTGGGTAGGTCATCTAGAGAAAAGCTAAACTGAGTCTTGCCCCCCTCCCACAAAATAGGGGTGGGGGAAATGGGTGGATTACAAAATAGTGGTAATCCTGTGTAGCATGCCATCTCCAGCAATATCCTAGGTCAGTGATGGCGAACCTTTTAGAGACCGAGTGCCCAAAAACAGCCCCATTCCCAGCCTGCCCCCGCTCTGCCCACCCACCCTCACCCTGCCTGCTCTCAGGGCCAACCATGGCCCACTGCAGATCGCCCAGTTGGCCCTGCAGCGCCGTGGTGGCCACGCCCTCCACTCGCGCCCTGCAACATCTGCTGCCCAGCTGTCATGTGTTTGGCTGTGCTGCTCTGCCTGGGCCGCACCTGGGGGTGACTCTTCTCCGGGGGGGCTGCTGATGAGGGGACTGCAGGGGGAGGCAGGACTGGGGCAATGGCATGTGTGCCCACAGAGAGGGATTACTTGATTAGATATTGCCTAAAGACATTGTTCACCAGCAAAAATACACTATGGAACATTTGTAATGTTTGTCAGAATAGTGTCATAGGTTCGTGACCACTGTCCTAGGTACTTCCCTTCTTGGCCATTAGTAGAAAAATATTTTAAAGCTGGCATTTGATAATTTGGAAGCCCGCTAGGAGAACAGTATGACCAAAAAAGTATTATAAAGGATGTGATAAGCAATTAAAAATGAATGGCTATGGGCCAAAGAATTAGAATAATGTGTAGAAAAGGATCCACTATTCTTCCAAATTGGATGTGATATCTCATCAAAAGTGGTATGTTTTTTTTAAGTTTCATGTGTAGCTCTCAAAAAGTGAGGTTGTCTATAGCTTTGATGGAAAAGATGAGTCCTAGATATCCTAGGGATTGACGGGTGAGAGATAGGTGTCCAGGCATAAGGAAGAGCAAGGGAAAATTAGTTGCACTTTTTAAAACTTAAGGAACTAGAGCTAGAGAAACAATGGACATTGCAAATGCAACTTTTAAGAATATTATTTTTTATCAGCATAGTTTATGTCTTTTAGTATACAATAACTACAAACGACAGCAAAAGCATTATATTTTTAAAATAAAAAAAAGTTGGGAGAAACGTTTTAGATTTTTTGAAACACAAACACACATTTTGTGAAAAGGACAAAAGTGTTATTTCCAGCCCAGAAAGAACGAGTAATTATTTATACAAAAGAACTTGCCAATTGTTTTTCTTAGGGATTACTTGATTAGATATTGCCTAAAGACATTGTTCACCAGCAAAAATACACTATGGAACATTTGTAATGTTTGTCAGAATAGTTCAGGTCCAAGGCTTTTCTTTGAACATTATCCCACAGTACCTCTTTTAATAGGGTATTAAATACATAAACAAAGCATAATAATGAAAATTTCCATGTTATTTTAGGGAATGTGAAGTGCTTCACATGGAATTCAGTTTCTGCTGTAATTTTTACAATAGCCTGAAACAACCTGGCTCCTTCCCAGTGTGTTGGGACTATAACTCCCAGAATTCCCAGCAAGCATGGTCTTTGGCACTATTATGTTGCTTCTATTCTGTTGAGGCCTGAGCTCAACAAAACAACAACAAAAAAGAATAAAAGGCAAAAACAAGGTATTAGATAAAAATGTACTCACCGGCATTGGTGCCTCTACAGTTCCCATTATTAGAATCCATAGGGAAATCTAGCATGAATTGTTAAATATGTAAACAAGTGTTAGTATTTTTAATACTGGATTATTCAACACAGCCACAACAAAATGCTTAAATTTTCATCCATTAAAAAAGACTTCCCCAATTCAGTATCCTTGGAAGAGTTGGCTTGAAAATCTCAGAATCCCCAATACAATATAAATACTATAAATTCTGGGACTTAAAATCATGGAATGAGGAAGACTGTGTCAGTAGTAAGTGGAACTAAGATTACATTTGCTTTTTTAAAAAATCAGATAGGATGGGGAGCTTTCCCTCAGGAGCCAAGTATAAAGGTCTATCGTCCTATAATAAAAAGAATTTGCCATACAGGTAGTTCTCCATTTATGACTGATTGTTTAGCAGCTGTTTAAAGTTGCAACCAAACCAAAAAAGGGGACATACGACCTGGATCCAAAGTTCCAAAAGCCACACTCCTTTGGTGAACTGTCCACCATGTTAAAATACAAGACATTAATCTACACTTGTTGTTGCTACTGTTCTTCAACTTACAATACCTTCAGCTTTAATGATCACCCCTAAAAATGCTTCAGATCTAATAATTTCATACACCGAAAGACCAAGGATACATGAACTTTAAATATAGGCTATCTGTTTCAAGAATGAGCCTACAATCTTAGGGGAATGAATTTGTATACATCAGCTCCAAACTTTAATAGCAATTCATAAAACAGTAACTAGAGCTATCAGCCAAATAAAACCTTGAGACATTGATTGAACTACTGAATCTTGAAAGGGTTCAACTGAAAGACATTCCCATGTTATCAAACCTTTAGTGTAGGCACCTTTAGTAACGCATTGAATTAATTCATTAGAAATGTAGTCTCAATTAATTGCAATGGTATTTTCTTGGAAACTGCTAATTCATGGTGTTTGTTTTTTTCTCCACCTTGCCTGGCAAATTTATTCAATATGTTTGGACTAAACTCCCATCACACCCAAATGACCATGCTTGACAATATGGGAGCTGCAATTCATATATTTGGAGACCTTCAGTTAAATGAAAGCAGTATTAAAACAATAGGAAAGACAAAAGTGGTTAAAGCAGTGGTTCTCAACCTTTATAATGCCGCGACCCCCAACCGTTCGTAAGTCAAGGACTAAACCGGTCGTAGGTCGAGGACTACCCAACCAGTTGTAGGTCGAGGACTACCCAACCAGTCGTAAGTCAAGGACTTTCCCTGCCCAGGAGCACTGCGCATGCATGGTGCTGCCCCCTGCGCCGGCCGAGGTGTAGCTGGCATGCGGCAGAGACGGAGCAGGCCAACCACCAGCTGGGCCACCAGCTGGCCCAGCCCAAGGGAGGTAAGGCACCCGCCGGAAAAGGGGAAAAAATGGCGGACAGCCTTGCTTGGCGATCCCTGTGAAATGGTCGATCGACCCCAAATGGGGTCGTGACCCATAGGTTGAGAACCTCTGGTTTAAAGTATTCACTGAGCAAATATCAAGAAGGCATTAGTAATGCTAGATATTCATGCTTGAGAATTTATTTTATTTATTGAGCAAATCTATATGACACCTGACTTGCAACACTGGCATCTAAAGAGGGAATCGGTGTGGAAGATGTAACTACCTGAAGCTTGAAAATCAATCTGTTGCAGAATCAGATTCTCTCTGCCAAAGAAACGGGGATGGGGGTGTCTTTTCAAAAGGGGAAATGGCTTCAGACCAAACAAACAGAACTTCAGTGGGATTTCATATCTTGTCTCTAAGATTCTGTTCATACTCTTTGAACTGCATTTACAGACTACTTCCTAATACAAAGAAGCCAATAAAATCAGTATGTAGAGCCAGATATCTAGCACTGATGATATTACCTAGTTTGGGTAAAGAAAAGTCTGCAAGAAAACAAGCTCAGAGAGCACCAAGGGCCCCTCAGAGCCATATATCATCCCTGCCTTACTATATTTCATTTTTTTTCCCCAGGAGATGGAGGGAGAGTAAAAGTTTGAGCCTTAGCACAGCCATCTATCCCTGTCCCAACACGACTAAAAGGGGCCAAAGTTGAAGAAGGCTGCGCCAAAGTATATATCTCTTCTCAGACTGCTATTGATTATTAAATGTAGAAGATTTCGTTTTCTACACTTATTTCTGTTATGTTCAGGTCATCCGCTCCCAATTATTTCTCTGCTGTTTAAGTTCACAGACATGTCAACATCTTTGAGCCTAAATGATCTGGTGATTTTCCACATTATTAAGTTGCTTTTCTTGGATGGGGCTAAGACAGGATTATCTGTATTGGGCAATACTGCTTATCCTTGTAGCACAGCTAAAATTGTAACATGGCTCCCTGACTCCCACTAAGAGATAAAAGACATAGAAACCACAAAAGGCCTTCTATGTTTTGCTTTGACTTTTGCCAAGAGTAGACTTCAGATAGCAAGAATGTGACACTCTGTGCCTAGACTTTCTTTTGATGCAAGGCTCCTGCCTTTCAAATGAGTACACTACAGTATTCTCAGTCAGTCCCCACCCCCAAAACCCTTTATCTTCCATATCCTCCTTTCTCCAGAAAGAAACTTAACTGTCCAAAACAGGTCACATTCTGAGCTGTATAGAGAAGAGGGTTGCTGAAATTCCCTGCTTCCATGTTTCACTTACAGAAGCCTTTCACTGGCAGAGGGACAATAGTTGGAGTCATCCCCAATAGAGTGGGAGTCTTCCTCAGATATCCTTTTCTATCTCTGTTGAGTATAATAAATATGCAGTCCTTGACTTACAATAACAACAGCAATAGCACTTAGACTTATACACCGCTTCATAGTGCTTTACAGCCCTCTCTAAGCAGTTTACAGAGTCAGCCTTTTACCCCCCAACAATCTGGGTCCTCATTTTACCTGCCTCGGAAGGATGGAAGGCTCAGTCAACCTTGAGCCTGTCAGGATCGAACTCCAGGCTGTGGGCAGAGGTTAGCCTGCAATACTGCATTCTAACCACTGCGCCACCAGGGCTCTTTATACAATCACAGCTGGGACCAGAAAAGTGGTTAAGTGAATTAACAATGTTATTTTTTTGCCATGGTTGTTAAGTGAATTATATCATTGTTAAATGAATCATCTGGTTGTTAATCCGGGTTTCCCCACTGACTTTGCTTGTCGGAAGCTGCCTGGGAAGGTTGTAAATGGCAATCAAATGTCTTTGGGATGCTGCAACCATTGTAAACACATGCTGGTGACCAAGCAACAATTGTAGGGATGCTGTAACTTCAAATGGTCGCTAAACAAATGGTGTGAGTCAAGGACTACTTGTATTAGGGAGACTTACATTCTCTGTAAAGGGCTTTCAACTGGAGCTGGAGCTGTATGTGAGGTCCGGCACTTTTTTTTTTTTTAACAAAAAAAAAGCACTGAGTAGTATTAATAGGGATTTGCAAATTGAAGTTGAAAGAATTTGGGGGGGGGGAGTCAACTGTAACTAGAGCTCAGACAGCCATACTGAAGTGATTCCCCAAATATTTTAAAGTTTTACATTTGCAACGCTGACTTTGCAGAAAACCCCCTCCAAATATTACAGTGATACCTCCATGAACTCTTGGTTCCTGGTTAAAACCCAAATAATGAGAAAATGGCCAGTAATATATTGTGACATTCACTGGATGAATAAACTATGATGATGACAAATATGATTATTTAATATTTAAAGCCACAGGTTTTAATGCCAAATCCCTTTAATGTTCTTTTAAAACAGACCTCCTCTAAATTCATTGGTAATTATAGTGAAGAAAATGAGATTATAGGTCTCCATTTTCTACAATGGTTGTCCTTCCTAAGCATTTTCTTAAATATATTGTTTTAGTAGCAAGTTGGTTATCAGCACTGAGCAATATAGAAAATAATCATTCTCCTTTTGAGATAGCAATTGTATCAAGTGTCCATGGAGGGCAGGATAAGATCGAAACATATAAATAGTTTAAAAAAAATAAATGTCAGCCTTCCTTTCTTTTTTCACAAGCAAGACAAAATTGCTTACATGGAGAACTGCATTTCCAGCCTCTACTTCATTTTTCTTTTTTTCTTCTTCTAGGAAATAGCACGGTACATCTTTTAAAATTTATTTGATTTGTATAATTGATTTATACCCTGCCTCGCTATCAAAGGGGTAAGCAGGGTGGAGAACAAAATTAAAATATTAGTGGGGTCCAAAGTGGTATGATCCAAAATGTCATCCCATCAGGTACCTTCTCATGCTGCTTAATAGATAACAAAACTGTCTTGGAAAGGCAGTTTCCATGATGTGAGGTCCCAGGAAGTGAACAGAAGCAGTTTTGAGCTGGGATCTTTGCCTATATGAATGCCTGTCAGTCAGCTGTTCATGGCTAAGAAAGATTGCTTGGGATTGGTGATCAGGTTGCTCTCGAACTTCATACTCTGTCATGCTCTGTTGTGCTTCATGGAGCTGAAGGGATAAACTTTTCATTTGGGAGAAGTGTGCTTATGGGCCTTGAATCACCAAAGGCTGGACAAGAGGGTTACAGGAGGACAGGACAGGAGGTCCTATCTTCCATTATAGGCCCAGTCCACACATTTAGTTTCAAAAGTGGGAATCTTTGGTTCTCCAGATGTTGAATGTCAACTCCCAGCAGATTAATCACAGGAAATGTAAAAAGCTGTGCACTTATTGTGGGTAATGGAAAATTAGATTTAACACAGCCAAAGGTTGCTGGATGGTAAGAGCTGGCCCAAGACTTTATGTGCCATTCAGAAACACTGCAACCTGCCATTAAGCCAATGAGTGAAATCACTAGATAGCCCATTCTTAGTCCACATGTGACTGTCAGCCTAATTTTATGTACTCCCTGGCCTAATTTCAGAAGCCCTTGCAATCAGTCAAGACAAGTGATAGTAGAACTGAATGCAATAACATCTCAACTCACTTTTGACTTTGCCTTCCACCCCTTCCTGCCTCAGGTCTGCCCATCATTACTCCACAGATGCAGTGGTGGGATTCAAATATGTAAACAACTGGTTCTTTG